TTTTTTTTTTTTTCAAAACAAACAGGGCCTTATGGTCCTGGCTCCTTTTATTCTGGGGAGCGTCAGTCCGATTCCTATTCCACCGGCAAGTCAGAACAATACAGTACATTACAGCAAAAAACTCACGCTTCCTCCCGTTTGGTCGGAGGACCCCTGAGCAGCATTGATTACTCCACCATAGGTGGAGGATTGACTGTCAGCTTGCCTTGGCTCACTCTTTCCTCTCAGAACTGGAAGACCAGCTCTGCCAGATAATCCATTGCCACCTAGAAAGAAATCGCCCATTGTCTCTGCTTGTCTGTGCTTCCCCCTCCTCAGCCCTGCTCGTGGGTCACCAACCTCCTCTTCCTTGTTTCCCCTCAAAGAGTCCGCCCGCTATTTCTTTATGTCTGTGCTCTTCTTTTCCTCAGTTCTGCCCCTACGTCGCCATATCCCATCACCCATTAGGCCTTCTCCCTTCTCTTGAGGTCTACTAAACCCTAAACCCTAAACTCTAATTTATTTATTTATTTTTGCAAATTGGTCAGAAACATGTTGTGGTAGGTCCCAGTGAGGATGCTAGTGCAGACAGTGATCTCGTCTAACTGATGAGGGGTAATGGTAGTGAGGAGGAGAGACCTGATGATAGGATAGTGACATGACGGACAGCTCGTCGGCTGCCGTACGTATGTCAGGCCTTACCGGCCGGCGGAGAAAGGCAATTGTGTGCAAAGGGTGCTCCCCATCGTTTGCAGAGGGCTAGGGCGGGAGCAGCAGCAGCATAGCAGGCCTTAGCAGTGGCAGCAGCTACTCTAGGGGCCATGACTACTTCTGCAGCGACCTCTCGGGGTCAGCAGACGTCAGGGACGTACTCTATGTCATTTGCCTCTTCCAGCCGGATGATGGCAGGTCCCTCTGTCAGTCATATGGTTGGCTCGCCGTACAGCCAGCCACCTCCACTCATTAGAGAGGCCTTAGAGGCCCAACAAGCAGAGAACATTCGCTTACCGTTAGAAAAAGAACTTTGCAATCAGACTCGTTCTCATTCACACTTTTCATACATGTAAACAGCAGCACAGCAAACTGGCGACATGCGCCCACTCAAAACTCAGAGATATGGCTTCCAGATTCGAGTTCACTTTCAATTGGCTATGGCGACTCAGCCCCCAAACAACTCACTGTTCACACACACCGGATCACCGTGGATATCCCACACGCGTAACCTGAACACTCGCACATACACACACACACTTCACACTAACTACAGCTATGGCAGCTATGGCTGCCTCTACCCTATTACTATACTAAGCTCCTCCTCTCTCGCCCACTGCGTCCTCCGGGCTCATCTCCAGACCTCCTTGCACAAGTCGCTGTGGCAGCGCTTCCGCATGGCTCACGCAGGAAATGAATGAAAGGTTGGGCGCTGCCTCGTGATTTATACTTCGGAAACTCGTTGGTCTGCCCTTTGCCATCGGCCCATGGTGCTCACAGTCCCCCCCGTGGTACTTGCTGGACCGGACTGGGACTGACTGGACCTTACCGCTGACTGACTGTGGACTCACTGCTATCCTACCGTCGTCGTACTGCAATTGCACTGCAGTTTAGTCCACCACTTGCCTCGCCACTTGATCACTTGCCCACTTGCCTACCTTCTAGAAGGACTACAACTAAGCTTCTGGAACTCACGAAGACTGCTACTCTATAGATCTATCGATCGAACCCCTGCTACCTATGGACCTATGACAGACCTATCAACTGTCTACGAATACATAGGTCACAGGTTCAACTCTCAGGGTCTACACGGATACTGTACATGGGTAGGACGAGGTCTAGGGATCGAACCCTGGGTACTGCATCTGCTACTGCTAAAAGGTGAAAACCGTTTCAACTCAGAGACGCTACCGGCAGAGCAAATAGAGCAAAACTTAGACAAGCTAGACTACAGACTAGGCACAGGACAAAGGTGCATTAGAAGGGTTAGATGACTCGACCTGTCGCATACCGTAAAGGTGCAGACTAGAACAAGAACCGGCCTCTCTCACATAGTACAAGATAGCGCAGCGGAAAGCTAATATACCAATGATCCAAACAATCAATGTTGCAATGCAGACCAAACTTACATCATCATTATTCCATGGTGTGAAGGGGCCTGGCGCTCACACAGGAAGAATGCGGCAGTCCCCATCCATACACAGACGAAGAGGAGGGGGGTTAGACGAAGAAGAGGGGAAGATGGGAATGCTGTCAACACCAAGTCTTCGGTACAGGTCCCAAATAATCCCTCGTCCAATGTCTCAATCCCAATGTCGAGTCTGAATCCAACTGTCGTCAAGTCCCAAAGTCGCCTATCTCTCCCCCTCTCTCGTAGTCTGCAGATACTGAGAAGTTAGGTAGCGAGAGGGTAAGGGAGAGATGGTGGACTTAGAAGAGGAAGAAGAAGAACTCTCTCTCTCTCTCTCTCTCTCTCAGTCCGGTACTAACCTTTGAAGGTGGCGCCTTGTTGCAGGTACATCGAAGACGAAGCTGGAGCTATGGCGCCTTGTTGCAGGTACATCGAAGACGAAGCTGGAGCTATGGCGCCAGAGGTAAGTCTCCCTGGCCTCCGCCAACCATCTCTCTCTCTCCAACGCTACTCTAGCTCCTAATAGCGCCCAACGCTGAAGACTACTGCTAACGCTACTACTACTACTGCAGCGCTCCTCCAGAGTGCTGCTGCCGAATCCTGAAGACTGCCTCCTGCCTCCTGCACGTGAAGTGCCTGGGAAGTCCCTATGAACTACCTCGTGACTGCCTGCAGCCTGCACGGTGGGCAAGTCTTATATAGTGCTGGCCCATCCAGGAGGCTGCTCTTGCCAATGCCAAAACGTGCCAGACCCTGGTGTTGAAGTTCAAACAAAGGTTGTCTAAAAAACAGGCCCAAAATGGCCTGTGCTAAAACTGTTACGGACTCCGCCAGGGCTCGATCCCTGGTCTATCTTTTTGCTGTTTCGGCTGCATCCCGTGTTCGGCCTGGCACCCTTTTTCCAAACCCCTCCTTTGGTACCGCAGGATTTTGGACAGCTAGCGCCATGCTGCAATTTGGGCCCCACTTTCAAATACCGCATTTTTCAGTTCTGCCCTTGGGGCCTTTGCAGAAATGCCCCTGGTACCGTACGTGCAATCAGACTCGCTTTCATTCACACTTTTCATGCATGTAAACAGTAGCGCAGCAAACTGGCGACATGCGCCCACTCCAAACTTAGAGATATGGCAATCAGATACGAGTTCACTTTCAACTGGCTATGGCGACTCAGCGCCCAAACAACTCACTGTTCACATATCCCTCACACGACTCCCTGAACTCACACACACACACACACACACTCGCTACACACTAGCTCTAGCTATGGCGGCTATGTCCGCAACTACCCTATCGCTATGCTACGCTACTTCTCTCTTGCCCACTTCAGCTCCGGGCTCACTGCAGACCTCCTTGCACAAGTCGCTGTGGAAGCGCTTCCGCATGGCTCACGCAGGAATGAATGAATGGTTGGGCTTTGCCTCTTGATTTATAGTTCTGAAACTCGTTGTTCTGCCCTTTGCCATCGGCCCATGGTGCTCACAGTCCCTGGTGGTACTTGCTGGACTGGACTGGGACTGACTGGACCTTACCGTTGACTGAATGGGGACTCATTGCTAACCTACCGAGGTCGTACTGCAATTGCACTGCAGTTAGTCCACCACTTGACTCACCACTTGCCTACTTGCTGACCTTCTAGAAGGGCTACAGCTAAGACTTCTGGAACTCACTAAGACTTCTATTCTACAGGTCTACAGATCGAACCCCTGCTACCTACGGACCTATGACAGCCTACCAACTGTTTACGAATACACAGGTCACAGGTTCGACTCTCGGGGTCTACACAGGTACTGTACACAGGTAGGGCAAGGTCTAGGGATCGAGCCCTGGGATATGCATCTACTACTGCAAAGAGGTGAAAACCGTTTCACTCCCGCCGTCCTAAATTCGAGGTCCTCCGAGAATATTTCAGTCCAAGGCAGGACCTTTACCCTTCTTATCACGCTCATAGGCTCTGACTATGTCGGGAGCTGTTTCTAGAAGTTTTGTTCTAGCAAACCAGCGGTCATCTTCCGGTTCCCTATAAGCAAACCGGACCTTATACTTTTTTTGGGTACGACTTCTACCTCCTGTCCTGAACACACCTTCATCTACAATGCCATAAATGTCATATCTTCCATCCATATCCGGCGGGATCATGGATCTTCTTGAAGGGAACTGTTGGCTTGTAACACATGACAACAACTTTGAGGCATGGAATACAGGATAAGTGTGGAGGTGTGCTGGAATTTCTATTGTGTAGGATGGCCCATCCTCTCCGCCCTTGACTTCTAGAACCGGCCACGGTCCTCTATATGCAGGTAGTAACTTTTGCGAGATGTGCTCCTCAGGTGCAAACTCTTTAGACTTGACCCAGACTAAGTCGCCTACCTGAAACAGCGAGGGGCGACGGTGCTCATTAGCCTGTTCTATCATTCTGTTTTGGGCCTTCCTGAGGTTTTCAACAACGGTAGCTAATTCTTTTTCATGTTGTATCGCAAATTCCCTGGTACCGGGCGGTAGCTTGTGAACTTGATCCCGGTTCAATCCTTCGAATGGTCCGCGCGGTCTAAAGGACTTGTGCAACTCATTGGGAGTGCGACAGGTGGACAGATGCACGTTGTTATTGTATGCGCTAGCTACCTTAGGTAACATCTCGTCCCAGTTGATCTGGTCGGGTCTAATGTACATGCGCAAAACTTGTTGTAGGATCTTGTTCATTTGCTCGATCTGACCGTTGGTCTCTGGGTGGCGGCCAGATGACATCAACAACTTTGAACCATAGACTCTCATTAGTTCCTGCCAGTTCTGGTT